GGAAGTGTATAATACCAAAAGACCATAACAACTCAACATGCATATATAAACACTAACACAAGAATGACTCCTACAAACCTCCTTCCAGACTATAGAATTATAATAATTGGAACTTTGCCAAAATGTGCAGTCTCCTCCTTGAAATAATCAAACAAATTAATTACCATATTTTAAAAAGTAATGTTTAATTAACATCCATATGGGAAATCAGACTTAGGGTGTCTTGCAAGTATAACATTTAATATGTGATAAAGATGTTATAGCATGACTGACATATATATTGTTACAGACTCCAATCTCTGAACACTGCCTGCTGTCCACAAAAAAGTTGGAGACGCAAACAATAAAAAAAATACAAATCGATTGTATAGTTGCAATGCCTGCTAATGTGACAACTTTCATATTGAGCATGAAAACAAACTTTATGTGAATGAGGCCTTCACTATTGTTAAGGATTCCACCAAAATGTCAAAATTTGTAATCTCCTTTAAAAAGGCTTACAAATATGACTTATTGTCAAGATACTTTTAAAAATTCTGTATTAGTTTGCTGAAATGTTTTATCTTATCATCCTTGTATTGTACACATACTAGTTATGGGCCAATACCTCTATTAGATATGTAGTAGATGCGATAATAATAAAAACAATCACAGGAAGGGTCACAATGTACTCTGCATACAAGAGAATCCATTAAGTGCTTAATATGCCATTATGCTATGAGATACATTAACATGGCGACAATGCAATTCTTACCTGTCTATGTAATGTAATATGATCTGAGCACAACAAGCAGTTGTATACCAATATAGTGCATATATTGCCATAGTGGTTGGATATTCCAGGTTAGATGGTTAAAAGTAGGAAAGCTCTTTTGAGATATCAGGATCATATAAATACAATTCAGGTCATAAAGTCCTAAAATAATGAAGCTATCATTCCACTTGACCATTTTTCTGATTTATCTGAGTCTATCTTTATATAATGCTTGTTAAATATATACGAAAAGACATAACCATGTTTTACTTCAACTTGAATGTTGTAAAAATTCAAAATAATTTCTTCAAAAATATATTGTTAATTGTGTTAAAGGTATAGTATCATATAGAATAAACCTGACCCCCTTTTTTGAATGAAACCTTTGATTAGCTAGATTTACAATGTCATACTTAGGCAGGCATCATATTTTTGTATATGATTTCATAAGAAGTTTTTGAAAATAAGGAATGAGTTCCTTGTCCCGGGTTGCTTGTATTTCTGATCTGAATGTCAAAGCTATCATATGACAAGATTTACTAGATTGCAAATGTGCAAGGGTTTAATGATAGGATGAAACAAAAAGAGAATGGAATGATTATAACAGGTATAGAATTCAGTAAGAAACATTTTTGAAATGGAAAAGAATGGAATTAACTGAGATAGATTAAACTCTACTTAAAGTTACATTCATATGACCATAAAACATCAATAAAATCTGCTTCTCTATGCAATTTAAGTAACACAAAAGCATTACTGGGCATTGTTTTTTAGTTTTGGGCCTATTTTTAAGAAATTGGGTCCACATTTCAGATTTGGAGCCCTAAAGGATAGGTATCGATATGGTGAACTTTTTGAACACACATTTCTCTTAAACTAGTCATCAATATCAATAATTGTGATCATTTTACACATTGTCAATTTAATAAGGTCTCTCAATATTGTAATTGTACAAAGGAAAGTTTGGTTGATTTTAAAAAAGTATCTTGTTAATGAAATAAAAGGTGTATCTTAATTTTTATCTATTTTGTGGGGTTTTGTTTTAATTTTTTTCAATATCTTTTGTAAAATCAACCAACATTTCCTTTGTATAACTATAATATTGAGAGGTGTAAGAAAATGTTGTATATGCTATTTTGTTCCAACAAGGTTCGGAAAGACATTTTATTTCAATTCTCAAGAATTGGTAGAAAGGAACAAAAAACAATTGCACTAAAAAACAAAAAATGTTAACAAAAACAGTTACATAAAATATATATAAATAATTTTCGAATTAAATTGTTGTCAATCAGTCAACATTACCTAAAGGACCGTGTTTTTTACAGAATGTTTTCAATAATTGGTTTAAGAGAAAAATATTGTTGAATTCAGTTTACCGTATCGATACCTATCCTTTCTCAATAACGGAGTTTTCATATGGCTTTGAAATCTCGTTAATTCTCGTTTTTCATGAGATTTTAAGAAATCTGCACTTTTAACCTTCAACAGCTAGCTTTTCTTTCTTTTTTAAAAGTATATTTGCATTCAGTGAAGTTTTCCACAATAATAACTTTGATTTATACAGTAATGTCATTTAAATAATTTTCTATATAAGATGTTAAGATTGTTTAAAACCTTGGTTTATTTGTTAGACAATCAAAAAATTCATGATTAATCACAACAATACATTGACAGGGTCATCAAGCACTTTTTCATAAATCATTAAATTAAGTACCTATTGGCAATTTATAACATGGACGGCTATGACAGTCTGGCCCAAGCAAACGAAGAATGACAAGGGTGACATCTATTATCTCAGCATTATTCAGCTATTTAGAAACTATACTATTGGGGCCCAAGATTTCCTGGAACCCCCTCCACTTGATTTTCAGATCCGCTCCAGCGTACCCATATATTACATCATCCTGCTTACAGTCATTCAGTTATAAACATGAGAAAAGGACCATGATGGTGCCCCAGTTCAGAAAGTGCCATGTTATGTTCCAATAATGAAGACAAGACAGTTTTAGCTGATAGTATCCTGCGCATTCTTTAGTATTTTAGAATTCTTTTTATGTAGTTGAATCACCCATTGTATAGTTTTATCGCAAGATCCAAGAGATTTTCGTTTTACATCTGGAAATATTTCAGCACTTTTCAAGTCGGAAGGGGAATCCCCTAAGATACCAATGGCATTCTGGGAGCCAATCCTCCTCGAGTCTAGATGGAGGAATTTTGTGATTAAAAACGAAAATTTTCTCATTCTGCCAATTAACCCTTACGATTAGGGATTCGACTACATAAACTAAATAACTGAGTATTAGAATTCTTTTTATGCAGTTGCATCTACAATCTTAAACGTAAATCGGCAGAAAGAGGAGATTTTGTTTTTAATCGCAAAATTCCTCCTTCTAGTAAAAGGGGATTCCCCTTCCGACATCTTGAAAAGTGCTGAAATATTCCCGATGTAAAACAAAAATCTCTTTGTTCTGCCGATTTACCAATACAATTGTAACGAGGAAGGTATTTCAAGTGTGCAATGCGTAATACTTTCTCCAAACATTGTAGGAACACTGCTTGAACAATTGTTTGATTGTACGACCACAACGTAAGTGGGGTAGTAGATACGATAAGTAAGGGTGTATGTAGACTACCTCTAGTCTTGACTAATGTGATATGATGGCTCTGGTTTAGATGAGACCATGCCATGACTTTTAAATAAAGAACAACATGTAAATTGGCATCAAGAGCAAGCCCGAATGAGCACACCAGCATGACAATATGAAGGATACAATGATGTGATACCTCGGAATGAAGCAGCCTCACCATTTTTACCCTTTTACCTCCCCAATGAGATGCCTCTCCACCCTACTTTTTCTCTGTTAATGTTTTCAATGAATGATTTTGGATCTGACAACTGAATACATATGATTTTCATCAGATTTTCAAGTTTCAACCCATTTTTGGATATTTCACCCAAGGCAGATCTTAGTCTAACAACACAAAGTCAGCTTATAATGAAACTAAGAAGTAAGAGATAATTATGACATAAGTTATAACAATAACAGTTTAACTTACCAATGGCTAATAAAGGAAATCAGAGGAAAAATGTATCCAACTTTTCGGATCTGGATTTTCTGCCATTTCTTGACTGTGGTGGTATTTTTGATGCAATCCACTTGATAGAACAGCCAAAACAAACGCATACATGTTTTACAAATAATATTGACACGCATTTATTTCATCATTAAAATTAACATCTAAATTTAATTTGATCGTTAAGGCTTTCACTTAATTTTTTTATCGATGGTTAATTGAAACTATCGTAAATAATACATAAATAATTAGGGAGTACATTTGGATAATTCAAAAGCCTCATGTGATTCACTCCATTCTCGCGAGGTAATGCGAGACGTTATGCTGTTTACACGTAGAGACATCTATAAATAAGATATAGAATGAATTCCTTCTGCGGATCATATATGAATATAAATGCTGTTATTGAGTCAGCAGTACCATCTATGCTGTCCCACTGAGCAACAGACCTAAGATATCATGGAAAGATGGTGCTCACCTTTCATAAAATAACAACTAATTGACTCTACTGCACTGGATCTCTAAGAACCATCTATACAGTATATTATCTCAGACCATGTTTAATAAATCGAAACTCCATCAATAACATGTAAAAGGTGCTATTAAAAATTTCCTCGTCCTGCTGATAAACCCATGATTGGGATCCTATTACTCAGGAATTCATTGAGATATGATATTTTTCTCAGTTAGATGTGCCAAATTCTCCCATAATGTAATGGGGAAATATGGGGGCCCTGTAATCGATGATTACTAATTTATTAACGATTACTAATCATAGAATTGGGATGTTCTCAGGACTATAGTCCTGGAAATGGATTAACAGTGATATTACATGATGTATTACAGTCAAGACAGTGTAATAAACAGAAATCCTAAATGTTATTATCCAGCTTGCTTATGCTTTTTAATTCATTTTATTCTGCAATACTAAAATATCTCAGAGTACAACACAACTTTACACAGGGGTTTAACATGAAGTCATATTTTTGAATTTATCAATAAGCAACAAGATATTTTCACTTACATACATACATAATACATACATCAGTACATGCACATACTAGTTTTCCATAGAATAAGTTACAGACATCTGGGTCCATTGAAAATGGAGCTATTAGATAAAGTAATACAATTGTGCGCAAAATGTTGAATGATTTCGATGTTTTTACTTGGTGGTCAATTCCATGAGTGCATTGAGACACATAAAACCTGTATAAAGTAAACACATCTCTTCTAATATAATAATAATAAATAGAGAACATCTCTAAGTTAGTTTCTACAACTTTACCTTTGCAAACACACATGTTCCACCAAGCCCTTACATGGTGAATAATTTCCTTCAATTTCTCTTGAATGTTAAACACTCCCTATACATCAAGATCAAATACTTGGGGATGGTGTCCAAAAGCAGTGGGAAAATGGAAATTCAATTTTTTTATTTCTCTTTCACTTGAATATTCAACAATCCACATTCTTCACAAAATCATAATTTACCCATCCCTCTTGCATAAATTCCAATTGTTCATAATTGGACGTCACCCCTTATCTGCAAGCAATGAGGCGTTCACAATACACAGGGTTTACTGCAATCTGGTGCATCGAGCTCTTAAAATAGTAAAAACATCAAAAATGTGGGAAATTCAATTTTGCAAGTTATAACTTTCTTAAAATGTCATTAATATTAATGTGATGCACATTGTACCCTCTGTCCCCCTGCCTCTTCATCGTCACTGTCATATGCATGGCCCCCATGGTGGTTATAATTGGAATGGGGGTCATACTCCTCAAGGTTACATTCTTCTGCATCATCAGGTATCATAGGGTCAACTCTGGGAGGTAGAACTTTTTCTAATGCAGGAACAGCCTCTGGAGGTATAGTATCTGGGAATTTGACACTGAAATTGATGATAAGACGTCCCTTCTCAAAGGGATTCCTGTGCATAGGCATGCCCTCTCCTAGGATATTCTTCACTGCCCCATGTTTCAATACTTCTCCTGAAATCAGATTTAATAATTTATTAAGAGAAGGAGGTAGATGTCCAAGTCCATTGATAGGGTTTGTTTCTTATGAATTTAAAATATTTCAAGGCATTTATAGGATGAGAATGACCCCTATAAGCCCTTCAACTTGGCATGTGATGTAATAAAATGGCAAGATACTTTCAGATGCAAGTTTTCAGTTTGCTCAAATCACAATATTATATGCACACAATGGTAATATTGCAACAAATGAATTTCTCCATGCTAGGCAAACAAACCTCCAAAGCATTCCATCAGCCATACGCCATCGGCTGTTTATTTCTTTACACAAAACCAACTTTTCACTTCATATTTCTTCAACACCTGATACCTACCTGGAATAGTATTGATGATAAGACTTCTCTTATCAAGAGTGGTAATAGGACGGTGCATTCCACATAATGCCTCCACAAGTTCAAGTTCCATCTTCATTGCGAGATCATGACCATGTCGTTGAAATACTGCATGCTCCTTCTCATCCAAGACTATAACAATGTCCCCAGGTTCCATGCCTGGCTCTTGATCACCTTCTCCTGTAAATTTGATCTGCTGGCCATCTTTCATACCTGCAATATAACCATCAAGAGGTTTTCAACAGTGAAGAACATACTCATGGAAATCTACTGTCATCATTTTTGGAAAAACTAAAAAACTGGTGAACAGGTAAAATTCTGAGATCAACTGCATTTTTAAGTTTGAATGTGTTCTTAGTTGTTCTATAGATGACTGGAGTTAAATTGTTAGCCTGAGTCTTGCTTCCAGCCCTTGTAACCACCCCCCCTCTACAAACTTCCCCTCCGCTAAGGGTAAGGTACATGGGGGGGGGGGTCTCCAGGGAATTGTTGAACAATTTAACTGATTTTTTTTTAATTTGTATGGCACTTCGATACAGCTAAAAGGTATACTTCTAAGAATTTTATTTTTTTGATTTTAACCAAAGAACATCCACTTACCTTTGTCAATATGGACTTCTAATATCTTCCGTTCTCGAACTGTTTTATGACCCTGGCACCCTTTACATCTATCCTTTGGATTGATACGTTCACCCTGACCTTGACATTCACTGCAGACGGACTGTATTTGTTGCACCATACCTGGTCCTATCTGCTGTATTCTCACTTGCATCCCTGACCCCTTGCATGTGTGACACCTCTCTACTGCACCTTTCTTGCCCCCTCGCCCTAGAAACCACCAAAACAGTCATGTTTCATATGCTAAGTACAATGAATGATATGTTAAGTACAATGTTCTTTCACTGCCAACAATGTTTATGCTTTAAACCTGGGCAGTATAAAACTTAACATATGAAAGAAATGATAAAAAATAAATGAACAATATGTGAAGAACTATGAATTAAAAATGAGGTCAGATTTGTTCAAAGATTTCTCCATGCAGTTCAATTTGATTATTAATAATCATGACCTATCCATGACACAAACCATCATTTTATTATTTTATGAGAAATAATTGTTAATCTGGAATACTTTTAAAATGTTTTTCCAGCATCAAGTGATTTTGCAATATAGTAATGACAGTGCATACAAAATTAACCAGAACACTTGCAAACAAAACAAGTACATAAAATAAGGTCGTTGAGAGAAAAAATCCAGGGGATCAATATAACATATTAAATTATTATGTCCATGCTGTGATACTTATATGCCAAGATGACTCATCACTACATACCTTCACATTTAGAACAAATCACATTTTTTTGTAGTGCTAGCTTTCTCGTTGATCCATTGTATAAGTCCTCTAGGGAAACCTTCATCTGGTGTACAACATCTTTACTGCGATTACTACGCCTCTGGTGTCCTCGACCACCACCCCCACCAAAGAACATGTCAAATATGTCCATGGGGGAATGGAATCCACCACCACCACCCCCAGGACCCTCCTTAATTGCTTGCTCACCACCTTCATCATAAATCTGGCGCTTTTTCTCATCAGCAAGGACCTCATAGGCTAGAGATATCTTCTTGAACTGGAATAATAAACCAAACAATGGGTCTTTGAAATCTAGAATGAGATTTTAGATTTGCATAGATTTGCAGATCTACTAAAACAAAAGACTCAATTTTTTTTAAATCTGAAGAAATAGTTGAATGATTCAGGGTACATTTCTACACGAGTTATATCAAATATTCTTGGAATGTGAAGTAATCTGGAAAAAGTCTGCGAAATCACAAATGACAAAAAGTATTAATAAATCTAAAAGATGTTTTTTAATATGCTTTTCATACTGCACTGAAACTGTATTTTATAATTACCATTCAAGTTACATGTATGTTTGTTTAAAATATTTTGTTGTGTTAGATATCTTGGCAATGACTAATAATGTACCTTTTCTGGGTCTTCAGGATTTTTATCTGGATGGTACTTTAAAGCCATCTTTCTGTAAGCTTTCTTCAGTTCAGCTGGAGTTGCACTAGGATTAACACCCAGCTCATCATAGAAGGCAGTTTCTTTCACCATTTTTACTTTTTGATAATTTTCTGGAAATAGTACAAAATATGACATTATCAATTTATGCATAGTCATTCACCTCTAATCCAGATCATTTTCCTGTGGGGGATATTTTTGGAGCCAAGACTACAGCAGTCAACAGCCAAGCTTAAGCTGTCAACAAGAGCTCATCTGACTAGTCCTGATTTTTTAATGCAGGGCCCACGGTCCTGTGCTCACACAGTTTGGAACCTTCAGAGGAATGTATATTCTGACTTTGAAACAAAAATATTGATTATTTTGGATTTGTAGTCTCGAACTTTTAGAAACTTAAACAGCATAGTTGTGTGACCTAGTTTGATGACCTTTACCTTGAAAATTTTACTTATTCAGAGATCAGTAAGGTCTTTTGTGATTAAGCTGACCAAAATTTACATCCAAAAATCAATTTGAAAAATCAACTTTTTTGACCTTTCGAAGGTCAGTGAAGGTCAAGTAAAGGTCAAATCCTAAAACTAATGTCAGATTTGAACTCCTGGCAACTTCTAGTGATGATGTAATTTATTGCAGGAAATGATCAAGTATAAGGCAAACTTTAAGAAACTTGTCAATCACAAAACCTGCCATTGACTTTATACATGAGAAAGTTTCCTGAAAATGACTAATTCCAACTTTTTGTCAAATTTTACAGAGTAAACACCAAAAACTGGGCGAACTTGGGAAATGGCGATGATAGGTCAAATAGGCATTATAGATATGCATAAAATGAATATGGGTATGACTCAATCCGAATAGCAGTTTTAATTTGTGCGGCCATTGTTGACGGACGGACGGATGCCTGGTCAATCCCTTAGGCTCACTGTGTGAGCCAAAAAGGGGTAGATTTTTTTAGTGCTCAGGCTTATTTTTCTCAAAACCCTGATTTTCAAGAATCCAGATTTTAAAATATAATCCCCTATTTCTCATCCAAATCTCGAAATTTTCCAATGAGACATTCCAATTTTTTGTTTAAAACTCCTGATTTATTGAATTATATCTTGTAAACCCTGATTTTTCTCTCAATTTATTTTAAGTCATCCATATTTTCTCCCAACTTTTTCAACGTGGCGATTTAGTTTTTGTAAACTTGTGTTATCTACTAATTTTTTAGAACCCCGATTTTAATTCTAGAAATCCTGAGGCCTAATTCATGCAAGCTTGCTTACGTCACCTATTAGGACACCAATCACAAATGTCAGTTTGTGACTTTTAGTGTCTCTTATAAACCAAGACCTCGGGTTGACATGTTTCATCAATTAAAACTTTCTAGAGGGGGCCAATAATGCTATATAGCCTCGGCCCCTCACAATCTATGTAAATAATTATGTTGAAAAATATGGAAATAAATAACAATAACCTATAAAAGAACACTAAAAAAAAGTTAGGACATGTATAAATGTTTATATTTTTACATATTCTGTTTCAATATGGTCCTTTTATTGCTTATCTTTTAGATTCAAAGTAGTTCAAACATTTAAATCTTTACTGAAGAGTAAAGTAAGGCCTGCCCTCTCGGAAAGTGAGACATATTTCAGAGAATATAATTACAACAATTTATCTGCAATAATGGGGAAGTTACACTATGGATAATTCTTGAAGATTCTAGCAATATGCATTATAATATACAAATGGACAAAAGAATGCATATCTGTAGTGTTTCATGTTCTTCAAAAAACACAAGTAGATTTTACCTCTATAAATCTCTAGAAATACAGTCCTCATTTGAAATGAGTAAAAATATAGACAACAACTTGTACAATCCAAGAATTTACCTGGATGAATTCTATCTTTTTGGATTTGATCCGGATTATACTGTATTTGGTAAAATCGTATGATCTTAGGATTTTGGGGAAATTCCCAAGATTTATCCAAATTACATTGGAATTCAAATAAAATTTGTTCGAAAATCAATCTGCCTACATAGGTGGATTGAGATTTGTATAAAAATCATGGGCTTTCAATTAGAGTTGAAGGCCCATGATAAAATTTCGTAAAATTTATCCAAAATATTGTACAAATTCACCAATGTTCAGGTAAATTCCACGGTAATCCCACAATGCATCATTAACCATGACGAAATTTATCAGGATAGGATCACAGATCGTAAGAATTCACAACCCCAGACTAATAAATTCTTTGTTACAAAATTTACAATGATGATGATATTTTTGAAAAAGTGTGACATGAGATTTTTGAGAATAAAATAATTTCATGAAAATTTTTTGAAGTAAAATCTGAGAGATTCGCAAAGCTTTGCTTCATCAAATGAGTACTATGTAATCACCAGACATCAATAACTCACCTTAATTAAATACAGTGTTTTTATAATGTCTTGTAGTCTTAAAATACGACTTTTCCTCACAGTTTTGAGGTCGAGATTCTTCTAGAAATGCGGATGTGACGTCATGTATTTCATCTGGTGCGCGCAATGACTTCTGGGAACGGCGCCATTTTTGATAAATTTTGAAAATAAGATTCGAGGTAAATATTACGATATTACGATACTATTGATCAATAAATTGATTACTGATGCATTTTTATCATAGCTATATCTAATATTCTAGTGATACATACCAGTTATATTGTCCAGGTGATCTCAAAACAGCGTCAATTCGATCGGAGTAAGGAAAATTTAGAGCCGACGAGGTCTTCTCAATTTCTCTGTCTGTCTAGGCTAGCCCACCACGGACCAGATTACTTCCTCTTTGTCTAGGCTCAATAAATATACTCAAGGACAAGACACGAGATCTTCGGAAAATCTATTTTTCCTTGATTTTGGAGTCAGTTTATCAATAAATATCACATGTCATACCTCAAATGATGCGTACTGTTGTTAGCTTCAACTCCAATCACTAAAGCCACACATCCAAGAAAGCGTTTGTTGATAAAACCATAAAATAAGCGAGCATATATTTAATGGAGTGCTTCGTCTATCTCCGTTGTTCAAATGATTATTCCCGAAGTCAAATGCCTTTTCTGAGAATTGTGACGTCACATCAGAGATTACCGAGAAGTCCCATGACGTTTCTTTAAACTCCCGAAAAAACAATAACAACAGTTTGTTAGGCTCCGCGATCCTTTACTTTCATTGGCTGTTTGTTGCGATGTGACGTAATTTGAGAGACGAACAACATCGGACTCTGCCTGAAATTACCGAAGCACTCCATTATCTTTACCCTCTGAAAATTTGAATTAAATGTCCCGGGAAAAGTCGAATTATAGCGTCAATAATGGATATCATGCAACCATTCAAACTAATACATAAAGAAGAGATTACAGAGTAAATATTGATCAATCAATGTCTGAATAATAAAGGTCAGTACGAGGGTCATATTTTTGTGTGGTCATTTTTTTGATGTAGCATTTTTGGCTTGTGGCATATCTTCCCATTTATCCTTTGAGCCTACTACCAATAGGGGCTGGATCTGTGGTCTAGCCTAGCCACGGGCGTTATGGAAAGTTCTCCATATAATATGCTGCTCCAGGTTTGCCATCTTGAATCAGAGAAAAACTGGCTCCACCTTGAGATGTCGTCACATGTTATCTATTGCAAGACTTATGCCTGGTACAACCGTCACCATGTTCACGGTCATTTCAGGCTTTAACATTACCACGGTCATGACAGGCCTTGCAACCATTGTCACGGTCATATCAGTCTTTAACATTACCACGGTCATGTCAGGCCTTGCAATATAGTATAGCATTGTTACGGTTATATCAGGCTATCATGATAACAATACCACGGTCATGGCAGGATCCTTGCGAAAGTCTTGCAACAGATAGGGTCTCGATGTCGTTATTCACTGATATTACAACTGCCAATAAATTCATAATCCATACTAGACTCTATCGAAAGGTTTATACTTATATATACTGGTCCCCTGTTATGTGTTTTGAATTTTTTAATAATGGAATAAGACAAAATCTTGCGATTTAAAATCTGAAGCGGAAAAAATATTCAAAATGGTGGCATTTGAATTTGTAATTTCGACATTCTTTTATCGGCCTATTCACTCACGACAGGCGGAGCTAGTTTCAAAAGCAATATTTCCGATTTGGTTCATTATTTGACCGATGGAGCCAGTTTGAGATGAAAAAAAATTACATTTTTCCTTGAAGTATGTCCATGTTTTAGGCATGCCAGGAGAACCATGCAAACAAACAAGTCAAAAATAATTTTTTAATTTACCCTATCATTTGGGGCTTCTGTCCACTATGAGCCTAGCCTACCTCTAGCCTAGATCTATTCTAATCTAATCTGCTATCTAACTCTAAGTTCTCCTTCAGCCTAGACCTAATCTCTGACTTCTGTCCTGATCTCTCTGTCTCATTCCCAATTTTGTGACACCTGGATTTATGCAGTCATTTTATACCCTGTAAACAAAAGACAGTCTAGTCTAGTTTCAAAATCATTGCTAAGCTTGACACTATGGAATTCGCGGAAATAACTTGAGCTGGCCCAGATCTTGGCTTGTTGGAAGGTCCCAACAGGTAGAGTCAATACGTCTAAATCCAAACAGTGAGTAAACCTGAATGGGTTGCAAACAATGGCAAGCAAATCATTGAATTGAATAATAGTACCTCTACTACCATCAATTTAACAATTAAAAAAATCAAGTTTAAGTTAAGTGTTTGGAATTACCCTCATGCTAGTGTTCGGAATTAACCCTCAAAAAATCTCCTGTTTGGAATTATTCCACAGATGTGCTGCAGGCCAGGCTAACTACATTTTTTGATGGGGGTGTTTGGAAATAGATGTATTGACTCTAGTGTTACACTGATGGAGAATCTAGTATAAGTACACCAGTGAAATAGGGTGTCCCTCGAGGAACCGCTTTGCTTCCTAGTCTGTAGCAATGATATGGGCTTATCCAAATTCCAGGACTCATAGTCCTGTGCTCCAATGATTGTTCAGGCAGTGTTTCTACAACGTTGGAGAAAGTGCTACGCGTTGCACACTTAAATGATCTACCTCAATACATTCCTGAATCCTGAGTATATTTGGATTCTTATTATGTCGTTGAATCCCCGATTGTGATAGGTGTATCGGCAGAACCTGGAGATTTTAGATGACTTCTGGAATATCTACGCACTTTTCAAGATGTTGGAAGGGAAACCCCCTTGATTTGCAGAGCCAGGATGTACAAATATACCAATTAAATATGAAAATTTCCTCATTCTGCCGATTAACCCATACAATTGAAGTGATTCAACTGCATTAGTATTAATAGTTAATGAAAGCACCGAATGAAATTCTGCGCTAAGGGCTGATGTGAAAAAATCAGTCTACCCTAGTGGGGGTCGAACCCACGAGCACAACCCGCATGTCAATTACATACATGGTTGGTGTTTGGTATTCGGCGGCTGGTGTTTGTAATGGCAGGTGGTGATATTTTGCATGTTAAGGTCAAGTTTCAAGCACATGGCATTTGAGTATCAAAATTATTGTAAGTTTCTTTCGTTAGATTTTCTCTCAATTTTGTAGTCCTACTTATCATTTATAGAACCAGGCTCACTGTGGTAATGCAAATAAAAACTATACATGTTGGAATAGGGATTTTAGTTCTCTGAAAATGTGATAGTAAAAGGTCCCTAAACAATTTTTTTTTAAATTTCTCTGAAACATCCCTAAACATAATCCCAAAATCAAAGGTGTTTTAGAATTTTTAAATCTCTCAAACAAATTGAATAAGATGGAAACATTTGAGAAGTGCACTTTTTGTGTTTTTTATCCCCATTTTGATATTGGGTAATTTTTTGAATTTCTGTTGCTCCTCTTTTTTTGATATATAGTATGTTTGAAATATATTTTGAGCACCTGTGAAATAAAAATAAAACAACGACTTCTCTAGAAGAGTTTGAAAATTCTCAAATTGCAAAATTCTCAATTTTATTTTTGAAAATCTGTTAAGTTAACCTTGTACTGTTATTTATATTTTTACAGTGTCTGGCCAAAAACATGATAGAAAGTGTCCAAGTGAGGCAGAGAGGGGCCTATGACTTTGAGTCCCACTATGATAACCTTTGTGCTCTTCAAGACAGTGTCCCTATTCCAGCAGTTAAAGCACACCTCAGCCAAGGTCTCCTAGATGTGAATGGTGACAGAATAAGGTTGGTATTTTAACCCTATTTGGTTCTGGTTGGTGCACCTATGTACGAGAAGACCATATGGCTTTGAAAAGATATAATTTTTATCCCATAATTGAGGTCAAATCTGTCGGATAACATATATTTTTGATATTTTGCCACTTGGGAAAAAGTGATATCTGAAATCTCCCGCCAATGTGACATGTATTGTTACATGATGATATTATTATGTCATGTGATGAATTAATGAATGAATGTTGTTTTGAAATGCTTGGTTTTATTTATAAGTTAACTTTTGGATAAATAGAACATCCTATGGATTTGCATGATATCATTTTAATCCACTCATCGATATCAATAGCTGCACTCATTCGCTACGCTCACTCATCCAGATATTGATACCAACTCATGGATAAAAATGATATCACTCAAAATCATTGGATATTCTAAACATATCCATGAGATATCCATGAGATATCCCAGTTATCCTCAAATAGTCACATTGATAAACTGCTTGAAGGGTTACCTTCCTTGATACGAATACATTGTAGAATATAACGTGTACAACATTAAATGCATGTACAAATGGTGACATATTCTTATAGTCTCCAACTTTTTTGTGGACAGTGGTTGGTGTTCAGCATGGTGATTAGCATGTGGAAGTTGATGTCTGTAACAAATGGCACATTAATGCCTTGTTTATATTTTCAGATCAAACGATTGGGTTCCAGTCTTGAATACTCTGAGGATCAACAAGAGCCTCAACTTTATTGGTGTTAGGAGTTATTTTCAACTACCATTAGATGAACAAGGTAATATGATAATACATGTATGTTCTTTGGGTTAAAATTTTTAGATAGGTGATAAAATACTGTTTGGTTTGAAATAAACCATTTTATCTGGCTTTTAGTGTACATTACATATAGAAGAAATCTTCCAGAAAATTTCCTCAAAAGTGCTAAATCCTTATTATCCCTCCGATGGGATTTGGGAATAGGACCTAAAATATATTTGTTGGTGGGATTCTTTACTCCGTTGAATGTTTCTTTAGTTTGAACTGTTTTGGTCAAACTGTCTCTATATTACACCCTCTTAGCAAGAGAGGTTCAAATAGAGAGGTTCAAATATATTTCTAATAGGAAAACATTGTATAGTGATGTGGAGAAATGCATATCATGAAGAAAACATTGACCATATGACATACTTGAATAAATTGATCAACTGCAGTGCTAAGATATATTGCTCAAGTCAGTGGCCTTGATAGAAAATGAAAAAATTCTGAACATGAGAATCTCATGTGAAGCTAGAAACTATTGAGTAACTATAAAGCTGCTATTCTAAGTTATATGTATTTATTAAAACAATGTATTTTAGGTCAAATTCCAGAAGATAAGTCATTAATATGGAAAAAGAAAACCCCTGCTGTTCGGTCAAAAGAGATCACTTATCGTTTGTGCAAGTCCCTCAAAGAATGCTTGACTGTGACTCCAGTCCTTTCTACACTAGAACTTCAAGGACTGCCCCTGAGGGACAAAGACCTTATGTGCTTAGCCAAGGTAAGCAGTCCCTTTAAGGGACAGAGACCTAATGTGTTTAGTCAAGGTAAAGACTCGGCCCAGACCTCATTTCTCTAGCTAAAATAGGACGCTAAAGAATTGAGACCTCAAGCGTCTAGCCAAGGAAAGGTTAGGACAGACATGTATTCTCAATTCACGAAATAAAAAATATATTTCTAACTTATGCTGTACATTTCAACTTTTTAATATCAATTCATTGATCTTCTTGAGCAGTGTACTGATGTATAAGTGTGAAAAGTTCACACAAACTTGAAACTATGTTTTATGAAAATGTGTACAATAAAGTATGTTTTTGAATTTTGGATCTTTATGAGGTATAATGTACCTAGAACCTTAGTAGGCATGGAATACATCTATTATGTAAAGTCGGTTTCAGATACAGAGTTTGTCCAAAACCTCCCAGTCCATACTCCTTACATATACAGGGTGTCCAGTGTTCGCGTTGACGCCGTTTTTTCTCGTTTTTACGGAAATTTCAAGAGGTAGGACGGAAAAATCAGAAATAACTTACGTCCCTGGGATGCAAAGATTCTACACCACCATCAAGTAACTTTTACTGCAGCGTAGAAGTGATAAAACATGATTTTCCGAAGAATTTTCAAATCGTCTACTTCCTTGATCTCGATAATGTTTATGTCGGTAAATCTGATTGGCTACCGAAGTGTCTCAGTATATTCGCGGGGTTTCTAGTCTGAAACGCAGCATTTGATTGGCTATGGTGCCCTCCGAGTCATTCCGGAGTATACCGAAGCTGGATAATCTGTTGTACGCAAACATTAGTTTCAAAATTGAGAATTGGGATTTGTTTTTCACGATAATCTTAATTATCTTAATTACTTCCACTAGGAACCGTTAGATATCGATCTAATGTTATACATCAATATACTTATTTAATGATAGCTCGTTTTTCATCTAAAAGTCGTCAGAGTAAGGAGAAATGTTAGAAGAAACAAAAAGTTCACGACCTTGACACGACCTTGAAGATCGCTGGTTGGTAAAATGTGAAAACAACTCTTAATTTGAATATTTCTTTCATTCATTTCGGAGAATTTTGATATAACATTAGTAAAGAATTGTGTGAAAAGGACCAAATGATAGATATTTATCGGGAGAATGCATAGAATTACAATATATGTCATTTTTATCCCGTTTTAGCGGAAGCACTCTATTATCGCCCACTTTACTTTCACTTTAATAACAAAATATGAGGGACGCAAAAAAATTGGACGGGACTCACATTTTTCAAATGTGTTGCGTCCCTGGGACTCAGAAATTTAAATGGCTAGCGCGAACACTGGTGTCAAATAAATATGTTCTCCCCCCTCTGACTTTAACATCCACATAATGTTGCATAACTACTTTCTTTGTCTGCATGATATCTGAATTGTTCTTTGGCGCATCAAAACTATAGGCTTCATGGAGCAACTCCACAAGAAGTTTCAGTTTCTAGATGCACTTTTATGCACAGAAGTTCATACTTTTAAGGGGAGAACATATTTATTTGACACCCTGTACAAAGGGGAAAACAGTGGGATGGATAGATGGATGGACAGACAGACAAAGTCAGGTCACCTTGCTTTATTGTAAGATATATGAATAAAGAAAATATGTAAAAGGTTTGAATCAGAATTTAATTGTACAAATGACCCACTGTAAATATGTTTGTTGTTATAGGGTGTATCAAAGAATTCCACTCTGACTCACCTGTCCTTGGAATATTGTAGGATAGGAGATGCAGGCCTGGAAAGTAAGAATATAATCCACACCTTTATTATACTATCCATGAAGAACTTGCGCCCCAATTAAATTTTTACTTGAATACCCATTTCCTATTTTCCAGTTTAATTCTTGAGCTAATGTGTAACTGTATTATTTTTAGTTCAATCAAAATAGTGTAGTAAAGTCAGTGTTGCACATCCAAAATGTGTTTACTTCAGAATGTGTTTTCCCAAAATATGTTGATCCCACAAATATGTTTACCCTCTGGTTTTACCATTTTCAAGCAGTTTGTATTTATACCATACCACCCTTTCTCATCATTAGTCAATTAAGTCTTCAATTAGATTGAATATGAAAAATGAATTGATTTCCTAAAATAGATGTCACAATTGTCAGTGAAAAAATTGAAAAGATCAGAGATGACGAGTGTCAACAGCTAAAGCATTACCTGTGACATGAAAAGAAACAAATTCGAAACCAATTAGAAATGTATTTTATTAAATTTCACTGTGTTCTCTGTCTATCTGTCTGTTTGAAGCGTTTCTATGATTTCTTTTCAAGTCCAGACACTGAGACATTTTACTGTACTTTATAAGGAGATGTAATGAATTGTTTAATTCTTATGAAATATGTTTTTCTACTGCCAGTGGTTCCATGTGCTGTGAATGTGTTTCAGTTGTCTGTAAGGGCATCAAGAACTCAACCACAATAGCTGCCATCAACTTTACAGGGTGTAGCCTCACATGGAAGGGAGCAGAGATTCTTTCAAAGATTGTCAAGGTAAGTGTTTGGTGTTATCACCCTGTATTTGCAGGTAGCCTTGTGCTTTGGTGGGTTCATGCAACTTATAATTTACAAGTGTTTTCCGGGGAAGGTTTGTCAATTCTCATTTTACCCATACTGTTTAACCAGTGTATTCTGCCAGTCATACATTAATATTTTGGGTTTAAGATTTATTTGAAATAATATGTGGTGTGTCATTTTGAACCGTCAGAACGCACCCTATACCTAAAAACTGAAATTCACTGGCTTTCAATTCATTCTAGTCAATGTTTTTTTAAACATATATTTATCACATTGATGTATTTATCATAGCTTAGCTAAAAAAAGCATTATTTACAGACTAGACTGTTTCATTGACTGAGAATGTGCCAGTTGGAGCATTGGATCTGGATGGAGCTTTAAGAGGGGCTTACATACTGCATTTTACCATGTAATCTGCTATAAAGTATATGGATAAGGGGGAAAAATCATTTTCTAAACTTTAACTAGGTTTAGTTCATAAATATTAAATTAATGTCTATGATTTTTTTCATTAATGTGAGATATGTATTATATTTACTTTTATTTTGTTTTTAACTACAATATACATGATTCCAAGTATCAAACAGCCAACATAATCTGGAAGTACATTCTGACTCATAAAGATCTAGTATCTCTTATGAATATCATATGGAGGAGAATTAACAGTGAACAATTTCTAAAGATGCAACCACATTTACAGTAAAACCTTCTAATTCAAACGCCACTGGCACCAGCAAAAAGTGTCTACAAATGTTAATGTGTTGAGACTTTTTAACATGGTAATCTGTGACTGATTAAAAATGGGGCCAAACATATTTCACATTGAGATATGTTCAGATAAGAGAGGTGTTTGAATATGCAGGTTTTACTGTATGTGTTTTGTCGATGTCTGGAAATGAAAAGCATTCCGAGTGTAATGAACAGCTCAACAAAATTGCTCATGAAATCCTGTAGCTTGTTGAAATGTGATAATGTCATCATAATCAGTTTTAAAGGTAAAGTTACAAATGATATTTGACATAACTACTAATGTGTATTCAATTTACACTTAAGTAATTTCATTTGAAGGAAGAGTAAAATCTTGTATAGACTACTAAAGAATTATTCCTACATCATTTCAATAGCCATAGTTTACCAGACTGAAGGAGTCTGGTCTCTTGTAAAATCATTTTCACAAAAAACAGATTTTGACACTTAAGTGCAGTTCTATGTCAGTTTGCATTGCTCTTTAATTCTACTCTATTTCACATTCGTAATATTGTACTCATACTGGACTTTCTAGGCTTATGTCAACCATATATGTTTGGTGAGTATCTTCTTTGCTAGATGTAGGTCCATTTACCACTGGAGTACTACCATTGCTACTACTAGTATACCCCTTATTACATGCTCCAGGTGACACACTTTCTGTTTCTGAATATAGAGGGTGCTGCATTTGGTTCCCAGATGACCCACTTTCTGTATCTAAACATAGAGGGTGCTGGTGGTTGTGGAGGTACAATTTTGTTGTATGTGTATTCTGTGGTAGGGTTCTGGATGTCAGCATTGGGCTCTCTGATGTCAGATGTTTCTCATTGTTTATTAATGGCTGCTGACTGTCAATGGAGTATCTGTCAGGACTGGATAAGCATTCATGTTGAACTGGACCTTGAATTGTTTCTATAATTTTATAGTTAGCATTTGAGTGAGTAATAGTCATGTCAGATTCAGAAAATACTCTTTCGGGAGAAGATCCCTCCTTGAAACTTTTTTCTTGTGATTTTAGTGCATGATTTTTGCAATAGAGGTCTCTAGTGTCATCCTCATGTTCAACAAGTGGATTTACAATCACTTGGCATTGGTCTGCATTCTTACTGTTCTTGCAACTTTTCAATTCAAAACTATCACATGAACTTGTTTCCATATTTTCCAACCTTTCTTTAGTATCTTTAGACCCAAAGTGATTTTCAATTTCAGCTACCATTTTTCTAAGAAGTGACTTTGGTTTGCTGTGTACTTCAGCAATGATGAGGCTGTCATTACGATTGCGTTTAGAATTGAAATTCACAAGGGGCTTGTGTGAGGGGCTCCCAATGCTGTCATAGTCACTCTCTATGTCTGACGGCAAGCCTGATATACCATAATAGTCCCTGTTCATCTTCCCTGCATTGTCATTGGGTGATTGGTTCAAGTTGACGGATCCCTCAGTGTCGCTCTCTGAGGTAGCACCAGGATTGTGAAGAACATGGCATTTTGATGTCATCACCATTTTCTCATATTGGTAGTCCTTTTCATCAAGCCAACGCCCAAATATGGATGAATCATGATCATCGATGTCGACAGCACTATATTTGCTACATGAACGTGTCATGCCATTGTCAATAATGCTGTATTTGCTGGAAGAGCGACTAAAATTACTAAAATTACTAAAATTGTCAAATATGCTGTTTTTTCTGCTGAGCATACTCCCTCTTCTACTACCTATTTCACTGTCCATTTCTGTTGCTGTCGCTGTTGCTTCAGAGGGAGTAACACTGTTCATTTCATAATCATCTTGCTCACTTTTTTGTAGGGAAAATACAGTATTGCGTTTTTTACAGAATACAACCACTGCCCCAGAAATTGTCAGAGTAAAGAACAGGAAGATACTTGCAATGACAACGATCACTGTGAAATGACTGTCACTTGCATTAGTATTGAATTCGTGCATCATTCTTGTCCTAGATTTCTTAAGGAAAGCATTCTGCATGGTGTAAGTGTAATTGGTTGTTACGTTTCTCATGTTAACATCTTCCCAGTAGTATCGATGATATGTAAATGTACTCTGATTCTTTGAAAGTCGTGGTATATTTGACGTTGATCGCATCCCATATGGAGGATGGTGACGCTGACGTTTGTAGGCAGAATCACCATGGTGATGGCGGTGCTGAGCTGTGTGCGTTTCCATCATTGCCACAAAGATTTTGGATCAATAGTGGTGCTCATAAATATTACAGATACAAATGTCCACTTCAATGCCAAACCTTGTTCACATTTATTCAGTTTACGATATTAATGTTTGATGTCGTGTATCACCTTTCATCAGTAGAATCCTCACTGCTTGTAATTTGTATTCCAAGTATGTCTGACTTATGAAATCATAAAATCTTTCTATCTATCTAGATTGGCTGATTCCCATAAATAACCTTCATTTCATAACTTGTCAATGTAATGGGACCTGTCACGGTGATAAATATAACATCTACTCTCACGTCTCCACTTCTCAGTTAATCTGAGTAAATTCTCACTGAATCTAATCAGGGTGTCAGCTAATTAAATAGTGGCTTTAATTTGGAACGTCCACTTTCTGTTGAATAATCACATTTGTATTCTCTAATATTTTACTTTCTTTGAATACTTTTCATGATTAACTAATTTTGTCTGATGATATTTGGTCAGAGTCCCATCTGATGAATTCTATCAATATCATCTAATGTTTCATTGGGTTTATGTCTATTTGTGTGCCAATAATCCTGGCTTGCCCTTCCAGTTAAAACAACTCGATTGCTAATGAACATTTAAAGGCGGCCTTTTGCTGTTAATTTGCAACCAGTGGAGCGTATTATCAGTCCACTTTCTTGTGACGTCTCAATTATCCCCTAGAAATCCATCCATCATTTTGATAGCTCACTCCACTCGAGAAGTTCCTGATCTCCACCGTGAATATAGTTTTGACAGATTTTGACAAATGATTCATCAGATTGCAGTCAGTCTATCTGTATAAAGAGACAATGTTGCAGCAAATTCCCTGTTGGAGCTTTTCTTTGAATTGAAGAAATGATCTGGAATTCAAATACGCCGCACTGCACCGTGCTGCTGTAATGCACTTTCCAAACCTCAATGAGAAGTCAGATGTAACAGCATTAGCCAATCAGTAACCAATTTAGGTGTTTTATCGAATTGTGCGCCTATTTAGATCGCATGATTAGACAGAAATGGCTGATTAGTTGACTGATTCACTCGTCAGTTGTGATCGCATTAGCTTTAATTTCGTGACAAAGGAATAGCACAAAAGCAGTCTTAAAGAATTAACACATAAATTCAATCACTCGTTTGAAATTGGCGTATCCATAGTAAAAATAAACAGTCTCCGTAGTCAATGGAATAAAAAGTGTGTTTTTGTTTTAAAATAGCAAGAAGCTTTGAGAAGATATCAATTTGTTTAATCCAGATCTGAAAGGGCCTTTTCAAATCAGTTAATTGTCCTCTATTCTACCATCAATACAGTTCTGATTTGATGTCCCTGTGGTGTAGGGTACTTTCCTTGATGATATCTCATGCAGTAGTCCATGTATAGTAGGCTTCCAAACAAGAGCAGGAGATATACTTTAAATGTAAGTTTTCTATAGGTGTTCACACTGTTGTGTTGAATTAATGGAATCATCATCTGAAAATACATGAATTTGTGGAATGCTGTATTAAATACATATCAGATTAAATTAAATTCAATTTATTGAATTTAACTTTTCATAATACAATGTTTTAAATGTTACATGAAAAGGACACCTCAAGGAAAGTATTTATTTCATGATCTCTGTTTTTTAACATTGAATTTTTAGTTGTAGATCAGAAGCTATGAAATTGGAATGAATATAACATGGCTTACTTATACAGGCTAAACTTAATACATGTAGTCAATAGATATTTAAAATGGCGCAAAAGGGTGTTTTAATGAAGAGGTGTTCAAATAAGAGAGGTGTTCATGAACACATGTTTTATAATATAATGTTAAATATATCTGTATGGCAACAAGCAAGACATGATTGCTCAAAAGCTATCTCAAGAACTGACTCTACTGACAGGAAATCAATTTTTGCTACAAAGATTTTTTGAATCAATTAGGTACTATTTTAGAATCTTGCTCTATAAATCTTGTTGAAATAAATTATAGCACTCTCCGTTGTCAAGCTGGGTGACACGTTGCGTATATTGATTTGGGATAATTTGCATTAAAAATTGATAAGCCATAGTGTTGGGATTAAACTATTGGTTGTGTATGTAATATTTAACTTGTATTGACATACTTTATTATAACATTAGTCACAATATTAATATTATTAATAATCACTTCTGATGATCTGATGGAGACATCATTATTTGCTTTCACAGGATGCCCAAGCCTACATAAAAACAGTAGTTATATTTTCAAACAAAGCATGGAAATAAATAGAAGGAAATAGACAGGCACAAACATTGTTATTAAACTTGATAATTGAACAGAAATGTCAGAAAATTATAAACTTCATTTATATTTGAGAGAGAGAAATTGAAGTACTTAATCAGATCAGAAGGTAATTTAACATACACGATCATTGTTCGTTTTTTCAATTTCCTGTCATGATTTGCCTACAGTCTTCCGTGATAGGGATCTTGTTTTCAATGTTTGGATCGGGTTGCTTGTTGGAATTATGCTCCCACAAGTCAAGTTACATCTGGTAATTATTTTTTGAAGTTCAAATAAGAGTTGTAAAGAGTATAGAATATTAGCATGGGATGAAGTACAATAATCTGCTATGAAGACAAACTCCATATTTGATTAATATAAAAATATTGTAATTTAAGGAAGTTATTTAGGAACAAAAGTATTGGAATGAACATTAGTAATGGATCAACGTGGCATATGAAGCCTGAGTTGCCATATGCTGGAAATGACTTTTACAGTTGAATAACTTGGAAAAGCTCTTGAAAAAATGATTGGTTTGTAGAAATCTGTTCTGTGATATCACCGTAAAAAGCTTTACGAAGACATTGATATCCAATTACTGTTCAAAATGAGAGAAGGTCATCTTGATCTGACTTTTAACAAAACTGGACATTTACACGCACTAATAAATTAAATCATTTATGAAAAAAACAACAATCCATTAATTCTCAATTTTAAGTATAATAGTAAATGGTTTAAAGGAAAATGTCAGTTTTCAAGCTATATGCTCAATCCTCATTATTAAAGCAAAGTGGCAGAAAAAGTGTGCATTATTCATAGTATATTCCAATAGGTTAATTTTTATAGGCTCTCTTGTATATATATTAATCCTTGAAGTGTTGACTTTACCTTTTAATTCCAGTTTGTAGACAGATAAATTGTTAACTTACATCTATTGGGATTAATAAATATTCCTCCTTTTCTTAATGTTTTCTATGCCTTTGCATTTATTGTGATATATCTTTTGGGTTCCTATATTTATATCACTGATTTGTTGTTTTATGTGCTCAAAGTGATGTTTATTGCTTTAGAATCCAAAGTTATTTGTTTATTGATACTTGGTTTTCTCCTCTTATTGGATATCATAATCGGTGTTAACAGATTGAACGTTAACAGCAATTGGAAAAATGTAGGAATGAACATGATTTTGTGGTTGATTGGGGTTTAGTAGAACATTGAGTCTAAGACTCTTGGGGATGTTTAAATTATCAACCTTGGCTCTTTGAATTAGAAGTCATAATCAAATGCTTAGTCTTAATCTACCAACTGATTGGTCAATTAGAAGTAGGCAATTTGTTTAGTCAGCCTTGAGAAAATCAACAACTCACATTTGGAAATCAGAGTTTTTCTTTGTTAAGAATGCTACATAGACTAGAATATTTGAAGGTTTCCAAATATCTGAGATAACAAGTGGGAATCAGTGTAAGGGAAGTGACATCTGGTGGGCAGTCCTGTGCATTGCCAAGAAAACATCGCCATTTAGGATATTGGCCCAATATAGAAATATATAGCATATCAGATCTTATTTCTCGGCCATTTCTCTTTGCTCGAATCAGACTGTCTAGCAGAGTGGTAAATCTTGAAGAATCGTGAACTGTGAACATTATTCAGAAGTGATAATGGAAAACAAATGATTAAACACAGTGGCGTAGCCAGGATTTGGTGACCGGGGGTTCTATTTTTATGTTATTCACAAATCCCCCCCTTCATTAGGGCTCCTCAAATAAAAACATTTTTTGTGCAATTTGTACAATTACACCCCCTCCAAAAGTTTGGCAATCCTAACTAACCCATTGGATTATGTATTTAAATTCTTATATGCATAATTTGTAAAGAAAAAACTATTTTGGGAGGGGGAATATAATTCATTTTAATACCTTCATTAAGTAGACAATTGAATTTGAATTTTATTTAACAAAAATGATGTATTTATTTACGTTAAGCAAAGTCTGAAAGTAATCGGCTTCATCAAGAAACCTGTCCCATTGAAACAACACAGGACGTAAAAATGATTTTCAAAAATGACATTGTATACAAGACTGTATATTGGGGTGGATACATTCTTTGAGCAAGACTACTTTGTAACTTTAATGTTCACAATTAAAAAACAGGCAACGTGCGCGTGCAAAAAAGTCAGACAACTTATAATTAATATTCTGCATCAAAATATTTTTCGGTGAATCTTTTACTGAATATATATCCTGAAATCTGATTTGCCCCGGATCCACCATTATTTCGTCTGATTGCTGGAAGACCCTGGAGCACGATTTGTTACCAAGGAATATCAACAATTTATTCTTTAACTTAAGCTACTTCATCGAGGACAAAATAAATCACCTCATGCAATGGCTTATCATTGTTTTGCAGGAACTTTGTTGAAAGCCAGTTCGGATTAAATGCGCAAACACCCTATACTCCGAAAGATCGTTCTTCTATGACAACTTTTCACAACGTTTACACGAAGGCTTTTTAAACTATCCGGGATAGTCGTATTACTGATGAAAACACCTATTCTGTAATCTGTTATTTTTCTGTTATTCAAATAAGTAGGTCTCGGTTATGCTTTGTTTTAAAAAGTCTAAAATATTTCTTTGAACGTCCCGAGCTCAGTGGTAAGTCCCCCGGAGCAGATCAACTGCAATTGATAATAAAAACGTTTTGCTGGATATAAATCCTATATAAATACAAGCGACTGTAACGTATTTTGTTAAGTTCAGACGGCTTGATGACAATTAGGCCTTCTTTATTTGAAGCTTAATACCATATGATTTTCAATGTTTTTTATTATGTAATTTATTTGCTAAGCATATCATGACATTAACATGAAAATGGAGAGCAAGTAAACTGGAACGATTACAATTTGAATTCTATACAATCTCCAAGATGAGTGGAGTAAATCTGAAAAAAAAAAAATCGTTTTTTGCAATGATTGCTTTTTCTTTGAAAAAGTGATGGGTAATAAATACTGAACAAATGAAAGAATGAATAAATTTGAACAATAATGCTTGTGTTTATAAATGATATACGCTTTTAAATAATTCATTTCACAACGTTTTTAATTATATAACACAATTAGTTTCGCGGACTTCCCAGCCCAGGGACGTCCCAAGAAATATTTTAAATTTTTATTGAAATAAAACAAAACAGAGATGTACACATTTGAAAGAACATGTGTTTTATCAATATTACGACGATTCCAGATATTTATTCGTCAATGTTGTAAAAATCATTCGGAGTATGGGACGTCTGCATTGTTTACAATAACTTACAATAACTTTGTATTGGACCAGAACTGGCTTAAAAATCCTACAAAGGACTGATTTAGCCATTGCCCAAGATGGGTTATTTTGTCCGAGAAGAATCAGCTTTTAAGATAATTGTGCGAAATTATTGTTATTTCTAAATGTAAAATCTCATGCTCTGGGGTCTTCCGACACTTAAATCTCATCCCGTGCCTAAGGTTGCCAAACGTTTTGAGGGAAGTGTAACTTCATGATGACATGTTTTTAACAAAATAAGCCTCTCGTGTTCACCATAACAAATATCAATTCATTTACTGCTCATATATGTAGTTTTCAAATAGCACAGTAATTTAATGTTTCTGGTTGAGGCATTTTTCCGCAAAATGATATTTTGGAAAATCCTGACCGGGGGTTCGTTCGAACCCACCGAACCCCCGCTGCCTACGGCTATGAAACACGTTTAGTTCTTGTAGTTAATCCACTAAGGACTTAGTGATAATGGAAAACATTTGTGTGGACTGATTGAGTAAAACAGTGTTTGTCCATATTGAAAAAAATAATCAAAATACATCAAAGGTTATATCTTGTTACGTTTTATTTGATAAAAGGCAACATTTGAACCAACATGAAAAAATGCTGTTGTACATCAGATAATATTGTTGAATATCCTTTCGATTGTTCTGGCATTTGATATTATTCTGGATCAATTATAATTCATCTATTCAACATTTTGATTGTCTGTGACAGCTTATCAGCACTAATATATAGTTTCAACTAAAATGTGTACTTAAGCTGCAGGTATAATGTTTATTTTTGAAAACGAGGCTCAAGTAGCTGTCTTTGAAGAGAATTATCACAGCCAGCTATCACAGTATGTTTTATGTCATGTGACAATGAGATACATGACAATGTGAAAATAAAGATGAAATGAATAAACGATGA